GGGGGTCAGCTATCTGGCTGTATCACCAGCGCTATACTACCTACTGAGGACTGAGGAGGCTTGCATTTTTCTTCTGGGCACCTGCACCCATCAGAAGAGATTTAGCTCCACAGCTACTTTTTCCACACAGAAGGGTAACTCTACTTCTGTGGGCTACTGAAAGTCCTTATACTCCCAGGAAACTCTAATGGCAGGTCAGCTTTAAGGCAACCCTCAAGCATTGTAGGCTAGCTGTCCCCTCTACTTCCTGAGTTCTTCCCATATGCACAAAAGCAGGAGTGAGAGGGCAAGGAGAGGCTGGGACTGAGAACCTGCACTCCTGCCTCCTCAAGGACCTTGGGGGCTCTCAGGTCAGGATCAGCTTCTTACATTAATTCTCCAGGATGTGGAACAATCAGAAGCTCTTTGTCCTCTCAGTTATAGGCAACAGGGTAGATGGGCTCATCAGAAAAATTACAAACTCAGCTACTAAAAGAGCCATTGTGCAATTTTGGGACTTTCCAGGTTCACATTTTGAAATTTCTAGTTAGGAAGAAAATTCAGTTTCACACTCAGAGGTCATTTTTGCTGTATGTAGACACAAGTTCATTATTTGTGCAGTCCTTCCAAACTTTCAGGCAATAACCCAATGCCATGGAATAACCTATGGGAAATGCAGATTGGACCCATTTAGTGTAAGTTGGTGTTGGGTCTGATGTGGGTTGTACGTGCATTGCTGGAGTGATGCATTGCGGTGTGGATCAATCAGTGTTTGTTAAATGTGGGCTAGACACAGCACCATCCAATCTGGTGTTCTTCTCTCAAACATTTGGAATCCATTAAAATTCTCTTCCAGTTTCACCTTTAAGTAAATAGGCTCACAGAGTGCACCCATCTCTCTTTGTATTTACTCAGCAATTTCTTAAAGACCGAGGGAAGTTTCTGGACAATAGTGAGTCAGAGGTCTTCTCATGAGATCTTGATCCACGGAGATACATTATGAATGATAAAGGGCAACTTTGTGTGAAAATGAAATGAACAATAAAGAAAAACATTCCTGCACCATACCTATCACACCCCATCCCACAAGGCTTGGGGGTCTTCTTGGAGTAGGGGTCAGAAAGAATGTAAGATGCAGAGGTGATGGATGACTTGAAGAAAAGACTGTGTTCCAGACACAGCTGGGCAGTTGCACAGGTGAACTCACAGCAATGAAGACAGTGTGAGGAAGACCTGTGCAAGCTCAAAGAAGACAAAACCCCAGCATGGAGGGGCAAGGTGGGTGCACAATCCCATTCCTAGCTGAGAAGATATTGGCTTTTGATTGCTGCTAGTAGAGGAAGGGTCAGTTTTCTTCAGTGATATGACCCCTTGTTGACCAAACTCTAGGTAAAATGCCATCCCCAAGAGTAGGTGGCTCATTCAAACAGGGCTTCATGAATGGGAAAAGAAGAAGAAGAAAGCTTTAAGTTGGATGGGTAGGGAGTTGAGAGTGACTCAAGGATGATGTGTGAAAATGAGCAAATTACTTTGAATAAAATTCTCAAGAATTATTAAACTATTGTTAATAAAGAAAATGTTCTGGGGTCCAAGAGCTCTCCCCTGTTCAGATCAGCTGTCTCTGCTGGTTTTGCCAGCCCATTCTTTGCCAATTTGCTCATCACTCCTCTCTCTCTCTGTCACTGGGTTCCTTGGGTTCAGCATGGGACTGATCTGGACCCCCCAAATGTGAGTGTCAGCGAGAAGGCCTGGGCAACCTATGGGGCCCTGAGCTGTGGATCAGTGTCTATCCCTGGAATACAAACAGTCATCGTGTGCCTATAGCACAAAGAGGGATGCTCTCTCAGCCTGGACTCTTAGGGGAGTGCCTGGACCCTACCCAGAGTGATATCCCCTATGTGGAAGGATTTGGCAATAGGGTGGGAGGGTGGGGGGAAGGGGAGTGCGGGAGGAGGGGAGGGAGAGGGAACTGGGTTTGACATGTAAAACAAGCTATTTAAAATTAAAATAAAAATGATAAAAAAATAATACCTTTTTAAAAAAAGGCATGGTTGCCATTTCCTGGGATAAGCAGTGCAGAACCATTTGTAGTTAAATTTATAGGTAGGGCATAACCTACTCTTTGAGAAACAGAGATTTAACCATACACAGGAAGGAACATGGTTTGTCATTACTATAAGATAGCATTCAAGCATAAGATGGAGTATGGCTGGTTAATCAGTTTCAAACAAAGTAATTTAAGTGTGTCTTGATTTATAAGTTTCTTTGTTATTTTACTGTAAAAATAATCATCAAAGTATACATGTTGGGAGAGTAAATTTAGCATAACCTGAATTAGTTTTCTTTGACTATGGACTGTAGTAGTTGACTTTGGACTATCCTTTATTTCCTTGGTAGTCAGGGTATTTTTATGTGGATGATATTATCTTTTGTGGTTTCTGATTTCTGTAAACATATTTCTTATTTTCTTCTTTGAGGCTGTTTTATCATGTTTTCAGCAAACATGTTATAAATGGTTCTGTTCAGTGTCCTATTGATGTAAGATTCTGCATTACTTTAGCTTACAATATTATTTCACATTTGTTACTTTAGATATTTTCCCCTCCTACTTAATTGTGATAAAATCATGAGCACACACAGCATTTGAAAGTGGGATCAAATCAATGTTGTCAACTTTACTACAAACACTTCAGCACTTCTGAAATTCTTAAAATCTGTCATAAGAATTTAGAATATTTTCCTCAAATTTGGAATAATTTTAAATTTAAATCAAAAGGAAAAACAGTTTGAAGTCCAAAGACTTATTATGTATTAGAAAATTAAAAAAGAAAATGTTCATGGGAAGAGCTCTTCTTAATGTCTAGGAAACAACTCACTTCTCTTCTAATATTTCTATCAATGAAGAGGGCAGGACTCTTCATTGGAGAGTAGAGAGATGGTTCTTCAGTTAAAGGCACTGGCTGCTCTTTCAAAGGGCCTGTGTTCAATTCCCACATATCACACGTTGGCTCACAACCATCTATAACTCCAGTTCTAGGAGAACTGGAACCCTCTTCTGACCTCCAAGGGCATAAGACAAGCATGTGGTGCATAAGCACACAACCAGAAAAATACACACAATATAAAACAAAATTAAAAGAGGAAGAGTAGGGTGGGTCAAAAGAATGGTCCTGTGGCAAGTTAAATTTGAGTCTAGAGTGGCTGAGGAGGTCTGTACATAATCATTGCAACAAATGTCTCTCCCAAGGAAGTCAGAAAAGTAAGGTTTTGTATGCAGTCCTCTGTAAAGCACTTTCCTAAGCACTTCCAGAACCACGGGGTGTGGGAGGTTGTAGCTGCTGCTCATTGCCTATTGCTAGAACAACATGAGCCTAGCCAGCCAGACCAGGGCCACCAAAGAATCCTGTTCCCAAGGAATGGAAGACATGAAAGGAATAGACAAAGTGGCTTTGCAGTGACTTAGCTAAGGACCAAGAGACAAAAATTGTTTAACAGCTTTTTCCCTTGCAGCTCTCATGTTACAGCGCCAAAATAACTAAAATAAAGGCCAAACCTAGAATGACAAATTACTCTCCAAAGGCTCTAATCTAAGACAAGCAATCTCAAACATGGTGCCCATCCTTGCTGCACTTGCTTCATCCTTCATTGCTTTACTGATATATTCCTCACTATCACACACCACCCTCTGTCTGCATCAGACAGACAGCTCTTCATTTCCATTCTCCTCAGCTGCTGTTCCTTCTTCTGGCTGTTATTCACCATCTTCCAGCTTACACAGTTTGATACATCACCTTGTGTCTCCAGTAAAATATTCACAGGCCTCTTCTTGTAACAAACAATTTCACGCAAATATTCTGAATATTTCTTTCTGGCTAGGCTCTTTTTGTTTCTACTACTGTCCTCAGGCTCCAGCCCAGGGTCACTTAGAACAGAGGAACGATTGTGATGCCCTCAATATACCCACCATGTAGTAGCTATACATCCTTCTTCTCTAGGGAAGTCAACACATTCATTTTTCTTTTGATTAAAGGTTTGGGGATACAAAATAACCTGCAACCCCAAGGCTTGAATGGATTTTCTTCCAAAATAAACTCAGGTAGCAAAACCTAGTGTTGCTTCTATGGCTCCAGTACCTGTTTGTTGATGTTATCTCCCAGTATTTCTTGTGTTGCACTTTGTTCCTTTCTACCTGAATTCACTGTTAAAATAACTTAGCAGCCAGTGGGCCTACCTCATGCATGCTTATGGTGTGTTATTTCTTCACAACTTTGAGACAAATTCCTGTACTGCTGTTTTGTGTTCCTGACTTGTCACAGTATCTGCATTTAAACTGTTCATGAATAAATACACCTGACTCTGGAGAAGTCCTTTCCCAGTGTTAAGATCATGCATATTGATGTTAAAAGTCAGTTTCTGTCTCCCTTTCAACTGTTTCCTAGGCCCAGCTTAATTCTGAACTATGCTCTGAAAGGACATTAGCTTAGCCTTTGGATTTGCAAATGTTCCCCCATGGTTATTACATACTCATATTTCTTTTTCCAGTGTTAATTTCTCTTCCTTAGAAATAGGCACCATACTCTCACCCTGAACTCTTGGGGAAGGGTCTAGGCCCTGCCCTATATGAAATGACACACTATGCACACCCCCATGGAGGGCCTCACCCTCCCTGGAGAAATGAGGGGATAACGGGGGGGGGCACGGGAGGAAGGGAGGGAATGGGAGAGGGACCTGGAACTGACTTGTGAAGCAACCTTGTTTCTTATCTAAATTTAAAATGGAAAATAAAATTAAAAAAAAAGAAATAGGCACCATATCACTGAATGGAAAGTACCCATCCTGATTTTTCCCCATCATGAGGGAGAAGACTCTGAAATCCCTAAGTTGCCACATTCCTGAAAATACCTGAATTGCACAATCTGGGAAAAGCAGATCAGAGCAAAGAGAAATCTTTATGTCCTGAAAGCTAAATTATGGCCAAGTGGATTATGAAAGATCAAACAGGAGGTTGCTCCACTAGTTGAGTGACAGTATATATACATCTGTCACTCAGCCCCAGCCACATCTCCTCAACAAGTCACAGAAGCCACTCACCTGGGGTCTCAGCAGGAACTGACATCCCAAGGTGAGTTCTCAGAACTTTCCAACATTTGCTCTTTGCAGATTCTTTTCCACACCAGCATTCATTTGTTGTGTTTTGTGCTCTGTCTCTTTCCTGAATCTACTAGATGGATTAGAATTCACTGGAGGCTGTATTTTAGCATGGAGATTTGTTGTATGCTTCTGTGTGAATTCAGGGAATCATGGAGCCAGCCTTATACAGATGGACTGTGGAGAGCTATGATGGTTATAAAACCCCCACATGACTCTCTGGAAACTTCCTACACAGTTGTGGTTCAGCTGGCAACATTGGAGTGCAATGCACTTTATACTAATGATTCATTTGCAAAGTATCAGACAGTGGGATTCTAATGAAATGTGGAAATGGGATCTAGCTAGCTCCTTGGAATCCACTGTTTCACCTGTCTCTACATGTGTGGGATTGTGTATAAAATCCAGTGGGATTTGTTACTGGACTTCAAGGAGTGCTCAACATTACTGAAGCAAACTTCACCCCAAGAAATGGCATATTCACCCTGTGTTTTCCTGGCCATACAGCAGGATGAAGCCTTTTGTTGCCATCATTTTTTGCTTCTTGGTCCTGGGAGTTGACAGCCAAAGGTGGTTCCAGTTCATGAAAGAAGCTGGCCAAGGTAAGGACAAAGGATGGGGGCAGGAGGTTATACGTGTGGGTTTCAAGTACTTACTGGAGCAGGGACCACATAATTAAGGACAAACTTCCTTGTGAAGTCCTCGTGGACAGAGAAGCAGTGTCTATCTTCCTGTGTAGTTCTGAACTTTTCTGGTCAGTGGATCCCAAGCCTGAGATCAGGTAATGTCTGTACAGCAGCTTTCCCACAGGAATGTATGTACATTCTGTACTTGTTAGCAGCAGATTCACCAGCCAAAGAGGGCATCTTCTTCACCCTTGTGGAAGATGATGAACAGCTCACTTCTATGTCTGGTGGCTGTAAAAAGAAATGTATCTCAATTGTAGAATGTCCCAGACCAGACACAGGAGAACCTGTGAAGTCCCCAATCCACGGTGACAGGAGCCAAGTCTAATAGAGCAGTGAAAAGACATTGTCCAAGGAGCATTATGTGTGGGAGCAAATTAATTTTTAAATTAATCTTGTGGTGTAGGTGTCACATCTACTTTTTCAGGAAACTGAGGTACAAAGCATACATAGGCTATCAAACAAAATCCCTGGAAGACCAGAGGTTAGCGCCGGATGTCCAGTTCCTCAGAATCCACTACACAGCTCCCAGAAGAGAGAGAGGACTTGATGGGCACATGCTCACTGTTTACCTGAGAAGCAGCAGGTCATGGGTTAGGGTAGGCAGCTCCTGTGAAGGAAGCTCCAGATCCTCCACCACCCACAGATGGGAATGACTGACTTACCTGGAATACAGGCTGCTGGGACAGAGACATGGACTAGGAACTGTCACCAAGGGAAATACATCCCACCGGCCACAGCAGGATCAAAATTAATTGAACCTAGGTAGTGGTCTTTCCCTCCCCCCAACTCATTACTTTTGAAGACAGTTCCCATTTAATGTTATCTGGACATGTAAAACCCATACAGGGTTTTACAGAAATGCACAAGGTCTCTAAAGGAAAAGAACGCAAGAAAAAGGAAAGGAATGGAACAAGAAGGAAAGGGAAAGGAGGAAGGGAAGAGGCCTCATGTTCATATACCTTAAAAGTTTCCCTTTACCATGTTAGAGAGAGTTTCATCATCATATGAGTAAATATTCCTTAGAGATCTTCTCTCCTTAATATGATTTCTGAGCAGCCAAGACCAACAGCAACAGAGCTAAGATAGGAATCCATCAGAATGAAACTTGCTCTAAATGCACTTCTCCGGCATAGCCATGGGGACATAAGAACTATTCATTTCAAGCCAGCAGCGTTTCTGTGGGCTTGTGAAAGGCTGAATCATTGGAAGGAAGTTTTAATGCTTTCTTTTCCCTAAACACAGTCTTCCCTACCATTCTCTTTCCTCTCCAGGGACTAGGGACATGTGGAGAGCTTACACTGACATGAGAGAGGCCAACTGGAAAAACTCAGATAAATACTTCCATGCACGCGGGAACTATGATGCTGCCCAAAGGGGACCAGGAGGAGCCTGGGCTGCTAAAGTGATCAGGTAACAGAGGTCTCGGTGAGCAGAGCTTGACTGCTTTAGACAGTCAGGAGGCGGGTGTCCTCTACATCCTGTGCACGCTGCCCATTAACCTTCCTCTTTACTGTGCACAGTATTGGGGATGGTTGGCAATGATACATGACCCCAGACGCTCTCCTCTGGTGCTGCTCCTCCAGCATGAGGGTGACATCCTGCACAGAGCAGGTGCTCACTCAGGCAGCATCAGCACCAGCCTCTCCTTCCTGGACTTTCCTCGGCTACTCTTACATCCATCTCTGGGAGACAGAAGTTCAGAGAGTGTGGCTACTGCCTTCAGCGACATTATATAACTTCTTCTTGTCTGTCTTGAATACAGTGATGCCAGAGAGGGTTTTAAGAGGATCACAGGACGTGGAATAGAGGACTCAAGAGCTGACCAGTTTGCCAATGAATGGGGCCGGAGTGGTAAAGACCCCAACTTCTTCCGACCTCCTGGCCTACCTAGTAAATACTGAGTTTTATCTTCATGTTGTTCCCAGCCATGTAGTCCCCAAGGACAGAGGCACTTACAGAGTTAGTTCCCAAACTCTGGATGTGTAAGCACCCCACAATGGAGAATAAATACTTGTGAAATGCCACATGCCACTGTTATTTTTGAAAGAGCACAGAGCAGTTGTAATGGGGATTGTGGGCCATGGGAATGACCAACAAACACCGCTGTTTTGCTTTTTTTTAATAAAGAGAAATGAAAAAGTAGGAATTGGAATATAACTGTAAATGTCTGTACATGGGCCAAAACATGTGTTGTGTATTCCATCAAAAATAGACAGATAGCAAGGATGCTTTGTATATGATTTCAGTTATGAAGTTGAGAATTAAATAAAATCCAACCCATTCCTAGTTGAGAATGAAGCCTAATAACAGAGTGATTTCCTAGCATGCATGAGTCTTAGCTTCCATCCCCATTCCCTCCCCATGAAACATCAATAAATTCTTACTTAGTAAATTATAACTAAAAAAATGAAGACAAAATCAAAACCATTCTGTAATTGCTTTAAAAGGCCATTCCTTTCCACAAAGAAAGCCTCAGATCTAGATTTTCTATAGATAATTTTAATCTTTCAGGCATGTCCCACCCATTTTGTAAAGAAAGTTCTGGAGAGAAGACAAAATATTCTGCCACCATTTTCTCTTGGATAGAAGACTCTGGCACCTCCCTCCCCGCAACCTGAAAGAAATTATCAAAAAGCAAAAGTACCCTAATCTGGTGGACTGAAACCAGCAGTGACCAGCTCTCCAGGCTTGAGTTATGGCCTGGGGAAGCTTCCTTTACACAATCCCTAAAGATTCTCGAATTTTGGAAATTGAGGTTCTGTTATTCCTTGCTGTTTCTTTACCAAACCACACCCTTCCCTGGGTCCTGTTGGCTCAGGTGGTTTCTTTCTGTCTGGGCAGCTATATCCTGTGTCATTAGCTGGCTCTTCAAATTCTGGTCTCCTGTTGGTTCCTTCATTTCTTCAGTGGTCTAGTCCCATGAGTTCTTGCATGTCTCACCCTTTCCTTCCCTGAAGCATGAAGTAGTTTGTATCCCTGACAGACAGACAGACATAAATCCTTGCTTGCTGAGGCCAGGTCATGGGGATTAACATAGCTAAAAGACAGAGAGGCTGCAGCAGAGGGGTCCAGTTTCTCCTTGTCTAGCATAGTCCCTTTGAAGGCAGCAAGGGAGACAGTTTCTTGATCAGCCATGGTGTGCAGCTCCCATGTTCAGATGTAGGAGGCCTCCACAGTATTGATAAGCAGGGAGCAAAAAGATTCCACTTCCCAGCACATCAAATATATGATTGTGGCCCCACCAGGAGAGCAGACATCACCCTTGAGCTGTAAAGGATGCTTTTCTGAGACTAGTAGTATCTTGGCTGCCCCCAGGAGGGTCTGGACCCCAAGGCAGAATACCAGAAACCTTGAAAATCCCATATACATACCATCATCAGTCAGAGAATCGAGGGCTTAAAAGCATAGACAGGGTCTGCTACCACTGAGCCCTGTGACAAATGAGCCCTATGAGAGCATTGATCAGATTTTTGTCCACTTCTGGAGGAAGTGGGCCACTCCACGAGACTGTCATCCTCCACCTGAGCACAAGCGCATAACATACACAGTGAGCACCTTCTGCACCATGACTGGGGGGTTGGTCACACAGTGGATGACTTTGGAAGCTGCTATTGGCTTTTCAGTAGAGTTGATGATGACAGATGCCACAGAGGTCATGTGGCTGACCTCATGTTAGCACCAGTCTTATCCAGGATGAAGGGAGGATGTGTGGCTTCACAGAGAGGAATAGTACATCACTGAGCACTCTATCTCTTTGCTGTGGCATGTCAGGTTTACCGATGTCCTCCAGAAGGCAGAGACTGTGGCTTGGACCATCCTCAGGCGAGATGGACATTATTATGAGCAGACAGAACAAGGTCTCTGATTTTTTTCTGTGACACCATATCTCCCCCCCACCTCTTTCTCAAAGCAGGGCTTTGGTGTGTAGTCCATGCAGCTTCCAAGTATTAATCTTCCATTCTAGCTTCTCAAGTGCTGGGATTATGTGTGACTGTCAACAATCCAGGCTGCATGCTTTTAAAGATAGTGCCTTGTTATGTTATCCAGACAGACTTTAACTTCCAGGCTCAGGGCATGCTTCCCTGTCAACCCCTTCAAATGCACACCAGCAGGCTGACTAGGTTCTTCACTTTCTTCCCTCCTTGCTTGAAGTTTCCACTGTGGGACTTTTCTAGCTCAAAAAACACACAGAAATTTGCACAGCAGGCCTTTCCCACAGCCAAGAAAGTGAACATCACTTACAATTGGGGACCTCCATTTATCCTCAGGCGCCAGGTCAAAATATGTTGGATTCTCAGACCTCTATGCTCCATCTTCCTATGGAGCTGAGGCCTATGGGGTCTTCTCTTTCCCTGGTTCGAGGTCAGCTGGCTTAGCCATGGCCTCCTTCCTCTCATCCACTCCCATGTGATTTCTGTCCTTTCTGTTGTGACCAGCTAGTACCAGACATCCTGTGCCTCCTTCCAGACACTTAATCCTCCACCAATGAACTCACTAGGAATCTGGGGAAAGGATTTCTCAGGTAGCTGACGACACTCCAGCTTGCTTCTGAGCTGACTCACCAAACACTTGTATTACTTGTCCTTTCCGTTCAGTTGAACAAAAAAATCTTCCCCTGTCCAAAAAATATTTCAAAGCTATTTCTCCTTCCTGTCTCCTCATTCCCTGTCTGTACGAGAAGAGAACCTCACCTGAGGCACAGTAGATCCACAACTTAAATCCCATGTCCCCATAGCACTCTGCCCTGACCTTCTTGACAATCAGTTTGTCTATATCAGAGTTTGGAATGAGTATATCTGAACCTCTGCTCTAACACTAGGTTACAGCTGAATGACTTGACTGGCAGCTCTGCTTCCTGTCTAGGTGACCAGGGGTCACTATGTGAGCACTGTTCCTATTCTTATTTTCCTATTCCATTGGATTCTTACATTTTGATTACATCACCCCTTGGCAACTTGGGGTACAGACAGCTTAAATCACACATCCAAGTCACACAGCTAGATTGAAAATAGACTCAACATTCTTAAGAATTTGCTATACCTAACAATTGTATTTACTGACATTTTGTGAACCACTTTCATAGGCTGGCAATATATCTCAGCAGGTAATCCATTGACTACCATGCCCAAGGATTAATTTTTAGCAACTTCAGGGGACAAAAGCAGCAAAACACACACACAGGCAAAGCAGACATATAAAGAAAACTAAAATGAAAAAAGAAACCAAAGCTACTTGGAAAGTACATAAAACTTTGTTTCCTAAGAGCACTAGATCAATCAAGTAGAAGTTTGTGTGATAATGGAAATATTCTATGGCCCTGCCCCCTAGTCACTAGCCACATGTGATCACCAAGTTTTAATTACAAAACTGACTTTTAGGGACTGGAGAGATGACTCAGTGATTAAGAACACTTGCTGCTCTTACAAAGGATCTAGGTTCAATTCCTATGCATATAGATAATATAATTATTGTTCCCTGGTGTCTGATTCCTTCTTCTGGGTTTTGGGCTCTCCAGGCTTATAAAGTATGCACAAACATATACATATGTATATATATATATGCATATATATATAAACATTTATTCACATAATATAATAAATCTTAGGCTGAGTCGTGGTGATGCACACCTTTATTCCTAGCACTTGGGAGGCAGAGACTGGCTGCTCTTTGTGAGTTGGTGGTCAGTCTGTTCTACAAAGTGAGTTCCAAAACACACAGGACTATACAGAAAAACCCTAACTTGCAAACTAAACAAAGCAATGAGTAAATGCATACATACATACATAAGTAAATCTCAGGAGTAGGAAGATGGTTCACAGGTTAAGAGTACTTTCTAGAGGACACAGGTTCAATTCCCAGCACTCACAAGGCAACTCACAACTGTCTATAAATCCAGTTCCAGGGGATCCAGTGCCCACTTCTGAACTTCTTGGATAACATTTACACATGCGATATATAGACATACATGTACGTAAAAATACCCACACACATAACAAATTTTGAAGATTTTTAAAATATATAAATCTTTTAAAAAAGACTTAACACCCAGATGGTTGTGGTGCATGCCTTTAACACCAAAAGTCAAGAGAGAGACAGGCAGATCTCTGGGTTTGAGGCCAGCTTAGTCTACAGAGCAACTTTCAGAACAACCAGTCCTATACAGTAAACCCCTATCTCAACACAAACAAAAAGATTATTTGAACAACAATAATTTACTTTGAGTTTTAATGAACACATGTGGCTAATATGGGCAGTACGGTACATAGACATTCACTGCACCTACTCCTTTTTATTAGCTTTGTTCCCTGTATGTTTCTGAGCTTGTTACCTTGTACTCTGACTGGAGCTGGAGAGAGAAGCTGATGGAAGGTGACAAAGGTATGCAAATCCTACCTAGTAACTTCTTATTGTGGTGTTCTGGAAGTCTCTCCTCAATTCCCAGTAAACAAATCTGAACATTGTAGTGGTTGTCCACATAATTCTAGAAAGCTGTTAAAATTGTGGGGACTTTGCCTCATTGTTAGTTCATTGTGACATCTTTTCTATCTAGCAACTGCTTACCATTTTAAGCACTACACTCCATGTGTTCATATGATGGTGTAAATGAAATAACACTTCGGATAGATAGTCTCATAACTGGAAATCTGGCTTTCATTTATGCCAGCTTTAAACCTCTTTCTGTTTCAGCAGGCAGAATGAATCTTAAGAAAAAAAGCAACAGAAACAGAGGGTTGGCAGGGATGAGCACGTGGTGTTCTTGCAGAAGACCAGAGTTTGGTTCCCATCACCCGCAATTGGGTTGATTATACTTGTTTATAATCCTAGTTCCAGGGAATTCAACAACCTTTTCTGGATTCTGTGGACACTACACATGATCTCACATACACACACACACACACATACATACACACACACACACACACACACACACACACACACACACACTAAATTTTATCTTGAAAACAGTAGAGTGATGTAGTTTCCTCCCTGACAGTCCTTGCACTGAACTCTTACAATTTATACT